AGTTGAAATGTGAACTTTACTGTGAAGGGAAGAGACTGAATAATAGAGATGCACCCCACAATTAGTAGCAGGAAGTCTTCAGAGACGGCAGAGGGAGCACTTCTCATCAAAGTAAGCTAACGCTACGTTTGCATGGAAATGGGGAAACAAAAACAAAAAATCAAGTAATTACCAAAAAAAGGAATTCTAAGTACACATCTTCAGCATGGAGGGGGAAAGAAACTATGGAAAAGACGAGAGATGAATCTCCATCCACACCATAATATAGATTGTATGTGACATATGGGTGTGTTTCTAATGTGTAGCAAGCAGAAAAACATTCCTCTACTTGATTAATATTTGGACAATAACCTCCCTCCTCTTGCTGTAATACAATAATATTCCCATGCACCAGCTGGGTCCAACCCTTTCGTAAAACAAAGAGGAGACGCAATCATCCCAAACAGTCGGCGTGTTGGGAGTCGCGGCGCGGGACATTTATCTCCCCGCGAGTTCAATCTGTTCCGGGGAGAAATGCGATCTGACCCGACCAACCCCCAGGCTCGGATATTAGATTAGCGCGGGGGCTTGGCGTTTCAGCAAACCAAATCACAACTGGGCTAATGACACCGGGAGGTGAGGGTCGGCCCGACCTATGACCTCTGACCCCTGCCGCGTCGCCCGTGGACCCCTCATGCTGGACAAGAGAAGCAGGGCTTGGAGGGAGAGATGCAGGAGGGAAAATGAAAAGGAAAAATGTATCTTTCTGTGCTTTCTTTTGAAATTTGCTGACCTCTCATCTGGACAAACGGAGTGATAAGCTGATGTTGAGCTAATGGCGGGTGTGCGTTGTTTCTGTGGGGTGATTGGCATGAAGAAACTGTGAATCCTTATGGAGACAAATGGTGAAAACAGCTCAGTGTGTGGGATTCAGAGAAGGGGGTGTTGCGGGGACCTTTGACTCCTCAGAGAAAAGCCCGTCCATCAGAGACCAAGGATGCGATACTCCCTCTTTTAGTCAGCCTCTCCTCCACGGCCAGGCTAAACCTGGACCAGTCCATGAACCTGACAGAAGTTGTGAGTGAGCAAAGCCACTGAAAATCGGGCAACGTTTAACCCAAATCAAGAACTCTGGTCCACTTGATCAATACAAAGGCTCATTTGAGTGGCTCCCCTAGTGCTGTCCTACGAGGGGACATTTAAATAAATATTAAAACTAGATAATTATCAAGTAACTTTAAGACTGGACATTTTCTAAATAAACGGAAATAACTATTTTATTGTCTAATTCTTTGCTTTTGAGGAAAAGTCACATCATTACAGAGATCATTTTACACCAAATGAGGACACATTTATAAATGAGGGCAATTATTTGAGCTAATAAAATACTTAAAATACTACACAATGTCCCTTTAATTTGCAGTATGAAAAAAATATAATTTTTAGATTTTTTTCTATACAGTTAAATGTTGAATTTGGTTTCAGTTCTGATTTTAACATACGCTCTTTTTCCTTCTTCTTATTCCCTTAGTGAAGATGTTTAGTTTAGATCCTTCAGCATCATGTTTCTCTGTAATGTCAGATACTGAGTGTATAGAAGAAAACAGAGTGTGTCTGTGTGTGTGTGTGTGTGTGTGTGTGTGTATGTGTGGACCCTGATGACATCCCCTGACATTGCCAGGGACATAATTACAGCACACACAGAGATTTTTCTTTGTGTGTGTGTGTGTGTGTGTGTGTGTGTGTGTGTGTGTGTGTGTGT